CAGCAGCCTTTACATCATGTGCATTAGCATCCCCATGCTTCAAAATAGTGATGGGGTGCTTGAGCTTGTTGAACAAGCTTTAGTTAAGTCACCCCCACTGCCATTTTGAAATACGGGATGATGAATACACATGACGCTGTGGGAGCTTTAATTAGAGCGGCTCTTGGAGCTGCCCTAATTAAAGCACCACCCCCAGAGCACATGTAAAGGCACCCCCAAAGTCTAGACACTTAGATAAAAGATTCAGTAAGGATGGAAGAGATTGGCCCTAAAGATGGAACTGGAAATTGTGCATCCAGAAATAGAAGAACTCTCTATTTGCATTTTGATATACTATTAATGGCTAGTGTAGTATTAATGGCTTCTCTCACTATGAACTGATGAAATTTTGCTTTTTATTCTTTTGGGTCAGTATAGTAACAAGGAAGCTTGGGAAGCCTTGTGCTCAATATCATTGTTTCTTTTTATTATTGTAAGATGCTGGACCTCTTCTCTGTTCATTCCATATAGTGCAAATACACTTAGGAAGCTCTATAAAGAAAGGGGGGAAACTCCTTTGGCTTCGTGGGTCAGACGAGTCCATGGGCCAGATGAATAGTATGGAGCCAGTCCTGAGGTCCAGATCTGGCCCATGGACTGCCCTTCCTCCCAGCATGCTGGATCCAGTATATGTGGCATCTGCTCCAGTCAATCTGGGACCCATGCTCCATGCAGTTTGTGTCCTGGCCTGGCTGGGGCAGGTACCATGTATAATGCAGGTCCTGGACTGGCTGGAGCAGGCACTGCAGGCAGCATGGGGCCCAAAGCAGTTGCTCTGTATCATACAGTCCTGAAGCAGGTACTGCATGTGGCACGTGTCCCAGACTAGCCAGGGGGGACTATGTGTATGGCACAGTCCTGTACTGGCCAGGGTAAGCACTGTGTGCAGCATGGGTCCTGGACCAGCTGGAGCAGGTGCTGCATATGGTACAGTTGTAGAGTGGATGCTGTATGCAGCATGTGTTCCAGACCAGGTAGAGTGCCTACCACATGTGGAGCATATCCCAGGCTAGCCAGAACAGGTGCTATGTGCAGCACAAATCCTGGACCAGCTTAGGGGGAACCACTGCATTCAGCAGGTGTCCCAGACTGGCTGAAGCAGGAGCCCCATGTAGCTCACATCCCAGGCCCTGTGAGTGGGGATGGTCCAGCATATGCCATGGGCTGTCTGTGAGTTAACTCAAGACCCAAGGGCAGCACTGGGGCCCAGATGAATGGGCTCCATGGACTGGACCCAACCGGTGGGCAGTATCTTTGACAGACCTGTTTTAAAGCCAGGCCCAGAGAAGGATGCCTACAGTATCCTATAAAGACAGAAGACTAGTCCTTTGATGCTAAATTTATTCATACAGGTGTATGGTAGTGCTAAAAAGGATATCTAGTTCTAGGTCTTGGGTGCACTTCACATAATTTAAAAATGCATCCTTTCTAAATGCTTCCATGCTGTTTAAACTTTATTTATGATTACTTGCCAGCCCCCTGCTGTCATTTCCAAACACATGGGGAACAGAGTGAGTTTTGCAGTGTCATTGGAATTGGGGTATTTAGACCAAAGGAGGGACACATTCCAAAGCTATATGTCCTCTCACAAATAATTAGGCTGACTATATGGAAAACCTAGAAATCCAGGACATCATCTGGGAAATCCAGGACACTGCCCCCCCCAGCACTCTCACAAGGTGCTCTGCACCACTCCACCTCCCAGCCAAACTGTGCCTCACATCCCTGTGTTTCCAAGATGCCCATTATAATTCCCAACAGCTGACCAGTATCAACCGCAGCTGGAGTACTGCGTCCAGTTCTGGGCGCCGCACTTTAAGAGGGATGTGGACAGCATCAAGAGGGTCCAGAGGAGGGCCACTCGTATGATCAGGGGACAGCAGGGTAGGTCCTATGAGGAAAGGTTGCGGGACCTGAACCTGTTCAGCCTTCAAAAGAGAAGGCTGAGGGGGGATCTTGTGGCCTGTTATAAACTGGTTAGGGGGGATCAGCAGGCGCTGGGGGAGTCCCTGTTCCCCCGAGCGCCGCAAGGAGTGACCAGGAACAATGGTCACAAGCTGGCGGAGGGAAGGTTTAAGTTGGACATCAGGAGGCGCTACTTCACGGTCAGGGCGGCTAGGGTCTGGAACCAGCTTCCAAGTGAGGTGGTGCAGGCTCCCACCCTGGGGGTTTTTAAGAGGAGGTTGGATGACCACCTTATTGGGGTCATTTGACCCCAGTGCTCTTCCTGCCATGGCAGGGGGTCGGACTAGATGATCTGCTCAGGTCCCTTCCGACCCTAGAAACTATGAAACCTTTGAAATCCAGGACTGTCCTGACTAAAATGGGCATACGATCATCCTACAAATAATGCCCTAAGAGCAACTGCCTCTTGTTTACAGCAGTGGAGCTTCTGCTCAAGTGTCTCAACTGATTACTACAGGGAGAATAGAGGTTACTCAAACAGTCATTTGGAGCTTTAAAAGTCAAATCTCACACCTTAAACGTCACGAGGAAATATATAGACAACTGAACAGATCCTAGATTACTAGTTCATTATGCTTGTGTCAAGAAAATCCACTTGACAAGTGGGCCAATGTAATCTGCACTAGTTCTAGGTTCTGGGTGTTTTATCTCCATGTAAACAGCATTTACTAACTGCAAAGCATATTTCTGTCCTTTTTAGTGGAGAATCTTATTTAGAAAAAAGTCAAGAAAAGTAGCATCTAGTGATAAGCTCTAGACATTTCTTTCAAGACATGTCATCCATGAGCTCATCTGCACTGAACATGATTTTCCAAGACACAGTGATGAAATTAGATGGTGCTTTCTCATTTGAGAATTAAAGTAACTACATAAGGACTCAAGTGGCTACATTTTATTGGAAACATAATTATAATTAATACTTATTTTGGGATCCATCAGGACATAAATCACTTTATAAACTGGTCTCTGCATTAAATACTATCTAGGAGTCATTTCAGCAGTCACTGAAATTCAGCCACTTGTGGGATGGACAATGGCAATTGGTAACAGGTGCCTGAGAGCATTATGTAACAAAGTAATTTAAGAATATGATGCTAATTGAAACTGTGGGGAAATCATGAATAACCAGAATGTTAGAACTTATGTCTGAATTTAGTCGGGATATTCAAGCCTAGTTTTTGAATGTGGTGGTTAACATGCTCTAAAGCTCTAGCACAGACAAGTTAAGATGTACTTTACCACATCCTAGTTGGATGTGTCAACTTATCTTGGTTAAGACAGCTGTGTCAAAATGTGTTGCTGTGCTAAAACATTTTTTTTATAAAGTAAACAAAACAAAAACTTTTATCTCAGTTGATACAAACTCTCAGACTAAAAGTTCCCATCCTGTGAAATAATGTTTAAGCTATCCATTTGTTTCAATTTGCAAACCTCCTTTGTGGGCTTGTGAACTGATTATAATCAGTAGACCATGGAGGTACTGTAATTTTAGAAAACAATGGAGCTATCAGTGTCATCTGATACGGTTTACAAATTGTTTCCATGTTGCAAAGCTAACTATAGCCCATCTTCTGTGTAAGCACTGAAAGACAAGGTGCCATGATTTTTATAGTCCTTGCTTTTGGTTGACAGTGGCTTGCAAGTTGAGTCCGTATTGTGTGCTGGTAAAGTTATTATTAAAAATTTCTGTTCATATATAATGGGGTGGTCTGTCCCTTTAAGAAGGGGCAGCCAGCCCTACTTAGGGCAAAGATGTGGGCCTTCTGATAATGAGGGAGTATCCCATTAGAAGCTTAAAACCCCAGAAGGGAGATATGGAAAGAGGCAAACCGTGAAAGAACAATTGGCAAGGACAAAGAAAACAAGATGTAAGCTGAACAGGTTGTGGCCTGGAGGGGTCAGGCTGCTGTGCTGGGGCCAGAGCCAAAGGTCTTTTCTCCTAGTGCCCAGGGCATAGCAGAAGGGTTTTGTTTTATTTGTTTACTTGTATGGGACTTAAAGGCTGTGTTTCTGTTTGGGAGGACAGGCTGAGTAGCTGCTCCTCAAGCAAAACCCTCCTGCAGAAGTCAATAGGCTAGAGCAGTGATGCTCAATCATTTTCCCTGGTGGGTTGGACCATATGCCTGGTCCAGCCTGGCTCTGACCAGGTGAGCGGGGAGTAAAGTTTGGCAATTTGGTAGGGAGGAGGATGGACATATTAATGGCCAATGCTCCCCTGCTATCAAATTTTCCAACCCGTGGGGAGCACTGTGGGGCAGATGTAATGGCTCTGCAGGCTGCATTTGGCCTGCGGGCCAGAGGTTGAGTACCCCTGGGCTAGACAACCCATTTATATCAGACAAATGTGTATCTTTAATTACATGAAGGACTAAGTAGAATTTGGATTAGTCAGACTTGCTGTTTAATCCAATAGCTGCCTGCATCCGTTTTTGCTAAACTCAGTGAGAACACTGCCTGGACTTGAAAAGGTCAACATCATGCTGTATTATACTAAAAAATGTTATTCCTGCATTTTGGTATAACTCAAGGGCCAAATTCTGATCCTGAGAATTACACTAGTATTACACTAGTATAACTCAACTGACATCAAAGAAGCTGCCCCAGATTTACATCCCTGTAACAGAGTTCAGAATCATGGGTAAGTATTCCACTTATACCACTACAGAATTATAATACTAAATACAAATGGGAACATGTCTAATATCATAATTGGTTTACTTCACTCTGTAGCTTGCATCATTAGGAAAGTTTGTCAGGATAATATAATATAGTTTTCTCATTTACTCACTTGACTTCCCATTTTGCTTTTGACTACTGACAACTGAAGAGATTGACTATTATATTCCATCCTCTTAAGATGCTTATGTTCGGAGCATATAACTATGGAAATTTTAATTCAGATAGAGCTTTTTGTCGTCATGCTTCTTGTGGCTTTATATTCTTAACTCTCTTAGTAAAGCAATGCAAACAGTTAGTTGCCATTAAGAATCGCCTACCTGAAGACTGCAAGGCTCAGGGACCAGAGCACTAGTGGTTTCCTCAGTTCAAATTTTGCTCGTTTATTCATAAGGTGCCGACCACCAAATATAAAGGCAGCATACAAAGCTGAAAACAGGAATGATTTCTTCCTGTAAAAAACAAATTAACCCAGATTTAATTATTACTCATCAGTTACACACAGCAGGGTCACATTTTTGCATAATTGCCAAGAACTTGTCACTTCCTGCTAAAAATGAGACAAATGCCACTTGAATGTACTTCTGCTACTAATTAAAACTTCTGAATAAACAAACATACATGAAAATAGGTCCAGGTCCTGAATTACTTCCTTGAAGCAAAATGACTTGATCCAAATTTTCCTTTTATAAATACTTCAGGACATGGCTCATCTTGCATATAACTGCTCTCCCTTCCTTCAACAAGCAAATTATTTCCTTTAGTGAAGGACACATAGATGAGGCATACCCCTTTGATCCTTTGCCTATGTGCATTAACAGCAACACTCAGTTCTTTTGAGTATCAACTGACTAGTGTGCATGGATTGTTCAACAGATCCAAAAACAACTGACAGCATGCATATTTTTTGCTCAACATGCACTTGTTTGAAATTGCTTGCACAAAGGAGAACATGAATAGACACCACATGTGAAGAGACACACAAAAGCTAGGTGGACACCAGTACCTCTGTTATTCAGTGAGCTGTTTGTCTGGCCTTGTTCTAGGCTGCAATCTTGGTGCACATAAGAATACCCTCTGGAAAGGAAGTCTGAAGGTACATATGTGATTTGCTAATTAACTGAACTACAAAGGTGCTACAGCAAGCACCATTTTTAAAATGACAGTGTTGCTGCATCAAGGTGCTTTATAGAATCATAAAAAATTCAGGTTGGAAGGGACCTGAGAAGGTTATCTAGTCCAACCTGCTCAAATTAGGACTATCCCCAGTGAGACCATCCCAGCCAAGGCTTTGTCTACCCAGGTCTTAAAAACCTCCAGGGATGGAGATTCAACAACCTCTCTGGGTAACCTGTTCTAGTGCTTTACTATCCTCCTAACAGCGTTCCCTCTAAGCTGTGTGGCGTATGCAGCTGCGCAGGCGTACCTGGCAGCATGGCATGAGCGTGCCTGCATGGCCACGCAGCTTAGAGGGAATGCTGCCTCCTAGTGAGAAAGTTTTTTTCTAATATTTAATTTAAACTTTCCTTGCTGCAACTTGAGACCATTGCTCCTTGTTTTGTCATCTTCCACCACTGAGAACAGTCCAGTGCATCAGAAGTCATGTGCCTCAGCCCCCTCACCATTATCACTGCCCTCTGCTAGACTCTCTCCAATTTGTCCACATCTCTTCTGTAATGGGGGCCCAGAGCTGGACACAGTTCAGATGTGGCCTCATCAGCACCAAACAGAAGGGAAGAATCACTTCCCTCAGTCTGCTGGCAACACTCCTAGTAATGCAGCCCAGTATGCTGTTAGCCTTCTTCACAACAAGGACACACTGTTGGCTCATATTCAGCTTATTGTCCACTGTAACCCCCAGGTCCTTTGCTGCAGAGCCTGTACCAGTGCTCAGGATTGTTCCAGTTTAAGTGCAGGACTTTGCACTTGTCTTTACTGAACCTCATTAAATTACTTACGGTCCAATCCTCCAATTTGTCTCTGAATCCTAGCCCTACTCTCTAGCCTATCTACTACTCCACCCATCTTGGTGTCATCCGCAGCCTTGCTGAGGGTGTAGTCCATCCCATCTTCCAGGTTGTTGAAGAAGATATTGGAAAAAAACCAGCCCCGGGACTAACCTCTGAGGCACTCCACTTGATACTGGCTGCCAGTTAGACATCAAGCCATTGATTACTATCTGTTGAGCCTGACGATCCAGCCAGTTTTCTATCCACCTTACATCCAACCTGTACTTTCTTAACTTGCTTGCTTCCATCAGTTAGAATCTGAACCTCACTTTTCTAATTCACTGAGGAATTACAGACTATGAATTATGGACTATGCAAGCTCAGTTGTAGCAGCTTGTTCTTTCCTATAGTACCACAAAACAGCCAGTCCAGCCTCAGGGCTTGCCTGCACTACAGAGCCTCTGGTGCTATACCTATCTTGGCAGAGTCCCCTAGAACCAGCAAGTGCCCCCAGAAGGTTTTCTGTCACTGTAGGAATTTTTTTTTGAGCAGACCAAGCCTGTACCAGTGATAGCTTTTATCTGTATATGAAATTTAAATGGTAGTATCACCCCAAATAAATTAAAATAAGAAATCTGTTACATTAAGGTGTAAACACCAGGGGACAGTACATGTTTTTTGTATTTCTTTAAAAAGTAGCATGCACACCTTGACATAAATATAACAACAACATGTAACAAAACATCATCAATTGGAATGAAAGTTGATTTGTTAATACATGGGAGAATAGCAATAGCCAGACAGTCCTGCTTCACCTCAGTTTGCCTTCCCCAGCTGAAAATCTTGCTGGAGCTGGCACTCTAACATCTATGTTAATTTGAGTGGCTGTACTAACAGCCACTTGTTTGTCAGCTTGGGATCTTAGGGAATCCATGACAATCATGCAACTGTCCACCCTTAATCGATATGTTGAAACTGAATGATTGTGGGGGCAATGCTGCTTGTAGGCTTACGGCAAATTTTAATTTCAAGGGGATTTAGACACTTAGATGTTTGTGAAAATACCTGTCTGCCTCTCTAACTCCTACATGTTTTGGAAACTGAGGCCCTCACCTTTTTTTTTCTTAAGAAAGAAGAAATATTTCAAATTCATTGCATACTCCTAACTTTCTCAGTCAGGGAAGAAACATAATTATCACTCTTTGTAGGCGAGATAACCTATTTATTCAACGTGACATTTCATGTTGGCACTTATTAATGAAATTATTAATTTGCATTCAGTCTGTCTAAGTAGGTCAGTAATTATATTACATTAATTGGTACCACTGTATTTTAGGTCATTTCACCTGCTTTTTAATGAGTTCTTTAATTTTTTAATTTTAAAAGGATTGTAAATGGTATGGTATCTGTAGAAGATTTTCTGTTGGCATTGGCAATAACTTGTACTATGGACAAGGGAGTTTTAAATAGTTTTCACTGAGGAGGGGATGCCATTATTTGACCTTATGTCAGAGGTAAGTATAGTGCTGTATATAATGAAGTAGGATATAGATAGTGTTTGTGTGTCTCTCTCTCTCGGAAAAGTTTTCAATTTTTCTATCAGTAGTTGTTAGAATTCCTTCTCTTTTTCCTTATGACAGGGCTATTTTTAAAAGGACTGAGTAGTGCAAGTGATTTAGGTAATGGGTTGTGGGAGTTTTCACTTTAAATTATTGGTTCGAATCCAGGCTAGATACTTGATAACCAACAGTCATTTTCCACTGAAGTGGTTAGTGAAAAATGTTGGTAGTCTCTATTCAGTGACTAATAAACAGGTATAAAGCAGTGGTAACCCAGTGGTATTCAGTTTTTACTGTAGCTGTTGTAGCCAACAGGACACTAGTAACACAGACATTTTGTAGACAGAATTTTGGAGGAATTGTAGGACAATATAACAAGTTATTATAATTCTTGATAATAATCTAAGCAGAATAATAAGATAACACCTCCAGGTCAAAAGATCAAAAAAAGTTCTTCAGTATTAAAGTTTCTCATCCAATAATGTCAATATTAGCATATTCATATGCTTGCCTTCAATTCTATTCTCTTAAGTAACACAGAAAACTTTAAGACAAGGCTACTATATTTTTCAGGATTTCCTGCTTCTCATAGCTGTCTCCCAGCTCCCTATATTTTTAACAATACACCTATGTGCTTGGGACAGCTGCAGCCCATGTAGCAGTGGTGACTTCTGGCTGCCACCGTGCTTCTAGTATGATTATTAGGGCTGTGCGAAAAGGAAGTGTTTCATTTTGACAGAACAGTGTTTTATTTTGACTTTTCTTTCGAGTTGAAATGGCTGTTCCAGTTTGGCTAGTTGACACGTTTTGCTGTTTCAATGTTTTGCCCATAGGATATAATGGGGAATGTCAAAACAGGCTATAACTTTGTCATTGCTGGGCAGATTTTGATGAAATGTGCAGGAATAGTAGCCCCTTTTGAGGGCATGAGGTGTGCCACGTTTCAAGAAGATTCGTGCAGGGGGTTCAGAGAAACTGCATCCCAAAATCCTGAAAGCAAAACTCATGTCACATGTATGTGTTAAGCCACAACTGGGTGAAAACTGCAGGGTGGTAGCCCATGGTGAGGCCACAAAGCCTGCAAAGTTTCAAGTTGATTGGTGCAGGGGTTTGGGGGGAAGCTGCTGACAGGCAAAACTCGTGACAGATGACACTGTGTGTGTTAAGGCACAAAGGGCTGAAAACTGCAGGGATTGTAGCTCCTGCTGTGGCCACGAAGCCTGCCAGCTGTCAAGGAGATAGGTGCAGGGCTTCTCGGACCCTGTATCCCTAGCTGCTGACAGGCAAAACTCGTGACATGGGTGCTTGTGCCACTGACTGTGTCTGTCTTGGGGGGGTGGAGGGCAGGGACGGGGGACTACTGCAGGCCTGGCTGCTAAGCTACTGTGTTACCAGTTACCAATTAATCATGATTCACTCAGGGACCAGCTCAATACACAGTACCTACCTACTACATAACGACTTAACGAGCATGGATTAACACCTACAAAACCAGAGACTAAGGAGAGGAAGAAATCAATATAGACAATCAACTGCCCCAAGACAGACACAGTCAGTTGCACAAGCACCCGTCATGAGTTTTATCTGTCAACAGCTAGGGGTGCAGGGCCCCAGAGCCCCCCTGCACCCTCTCCTTGACAGCTGGCAGGCTTCGTGGCCTCAGCAGGGACTAGCAGGCCTGCAGCTTTCACCCTGCTGCGCCTTAACACAGACAGTGTCTCCCATGTCATGAGTTTTGCCTGTCAGCAGCCAGAGGTGCAGGGCCCCAGAAGCCAGACTCCCCCTACACTGATCACTTTGACAGCTGGCAGGCTTTGTGGCCTCAGCAGGGGCCACCACCCCTGCAGTTTTCAGCCCGCTGCAACTTAACACCCACAAGATCATCTATGTCACAAGTTTTACCTGTCAGCAGCTAGAACCCCTGCACTGATCTCCTCAACAGATGTTAGGCTTTGTGGCAGTAGCAGGTGCTACCATTCCTGCAGCTGTCACCCCGCTGCGCCTTAACACACAGTGTCACCCATGTCATGAGTTTTGCTTGTCCGCAGCTTGAGGTGCAGTCCCCTCAAACCCCTGCATCGATCTTCTTGAAACTTAGCAGGCTTTGTGGCCTTACCGGGGCTAGTGATCCTGCAGTTTTGACCCCACTGTGTCTTAACACATACACGTGACATGAGTTTTGCTTTCAGGATTTTGGGGTGCAGTTTCTCTGAACCTCCTACACCTATCTCCTTGAAACCTGGCAAGCTTTGTTGCTTCAGCAGGGGCTACCACCCCTCCAGTTTTGACCCCACTGTGGCTTAACACCTGCATGTGACATGATTTTGGCTCTCATGATTTTGGGGTGCAATTTCTCTGAACCCCCTGCACCAATTTTCTTGAAACTTGGCACACATCACGCCCTCAGAAGGGGCTATCACTCCTGCAAGTTTCATCAAAATCTGGCCAGCAATGACAAAGTTGCAGGCTGTTTTGACCTTCCCCATTATAGCCTATGGGCGAAATGTCGAAACAGCGTCAAAATGGCAAAACGTTTTGACTTGCCTTGTTTTGTTTTGAGGCTGTTTCGACCATATGTTTTGTTTCTATTTTGCTGTTTTGACCTCAGAACAGGTTGAAACAGCGTCGAAACAAAACTGATGGTGAAATTTCGCATAGCCCTAATGATTACGTGACTGCAGCAACAGCTATTTTTTCTGTACCTGCCCACCTCCCCTCCGAGTCCTGTCTGGGATGGTTACCATACTCACCCTGCCCTAGTTATGCTACTGATTTTTTGACATTAGGGATTAAATACTATCGATGTTGAATACAACTCTCTGCTGTGCCTCTAAAAGCTTCCTGCTGCCTTTCAGTCTGAAAGACTAAAGAAGTCTCTTAGAGACCCTGCAGAGAGAGATACTCAGCTTAGGCGTTGCTAGAAGGAGGAAGATAATATAGATTTGCAGGGTGAAAATGTGGGGGGAGATCATCTGGGAATCAAGAACAGAGTTGGTAGGAAGGGAAAAACACAGTGTGGGAAGGGAAAAACATGATATAGATGGACGGAGGTTATGGGGGGGGTGATGGGTGTCAGGAAAAAAAGGAGGAGGGATGAGGAAGGTAACGGGAAGGAGAAGGAATAAAGAAGAGAAAATGTGGCAAGAAAGGATAAATAAAGCATAACTATAAATGTAGGTGAGGTGCAGTAGGAAGGGAAAGATAAATGATGCACTAAGGACTAGATCCAATACGGAACTGAGGTGCCTCAAGTCTGTCTAAGTGCTGTTTTAAAGAACTCATCCAAAATCGTGATGCTTCATCTTCTTCCTCAGCTTAGGGAGCTCCTAGGTTCCTTAGGTGCTTCCAATCAACTTGAAAGTTCCCCAGGTACCTAGAGTTATGAATGCGCCCAGAACCACCTTTGTCTGAGTAGGTTGGTGCCTGTTGCTCACCAAAGCCCAATCTGAATCTAGAAACAAGGTATTCCTCTACTTAAGTCTCCTGTGGGTGCCCAGTTTGCCAGATGGGCTTAGAACATACTTAATAATCCACAGCAACAGGATCAAGGCCCTTAAAAATCACTGTTTTCAACGTGAGGTGGTCGCCTTACACATAAAACACTAAAGGTTAGAGCCACATGTAAACCACCTCTCTCATCCCTAAGGAAATCACACCAACCATCGTCTATAGAGAAAGATGGGTTTGAATCTCTACAGGCTGATAAGGCCCCTCAACCTTGATCTCCCCTATGCTCTGTAAGTGCCCTAACTGCTAGGCTATTATATTAAAAGGCAGCGTCTCCTCCTCTTTCTGTCCTAGCCATATTTTACAAGTAAGTGTGAGCCCTGTTCCATTCTTTCAAAGAATGGGTGTGGGAGCCAGCTCTCAGGAGAGGTTGGTTTCCAGACTCTGGATTCTGAGTAGACAGACGTCTATTTGCAGCCCCGAGTCAGGTGCCTACCTTGTGAAGAAAGGCAGGGTTTCTGCAATGTTGTCCTCGTTATTTCCCTAATAGTTCTCTGAATTTTGTGGACTGCTATTCGTTAAAGCACTGCAGCACCCAAATTTTAGGAGTCCAAGTCCTTTACTGGATCTAGCCCTAAGGCTGAGGAAATAGACAAAATACAAAATAGAGAAAAAGAGGCAAGGACTACAGACTGAGAAAGGGGGAGGAAGAGACTGAGGGGAAACAAAGAAAGATGGAGAAAATCCATCCCACCAGAAACAGTCCTTCTTGTCAGTCACAGACAGGAAGTGTTGCCTCCAGGAAAGCCAATTCAGGCATCAAGAAGTGGCAGGGAGAGATCGAATCACCTGGCCTAGGGGAGGAAAACAAAACACAAAAACAAACAAACAAACAAAAAAATTAAAGTAAAGAAGACAAAGGTAAAGAGAAAGGTAAGGAATAAGAAAACCTTCCCCCCCTACGCACGTAGTTTGTACAGTATTGAGAGAACTGGACCATTGTATCATTACAAAATATTAGGCTTTCGGGCACAATATGCTCTTCCTCAGGTTTGGGGAAAGAGGCAGATAGAAGGCAGGGTAGATAGGCACCTTATAGACCAACTAAATAGGATATGAACAGAGCACAAATTTTTGTGAACTCACGTTCACTTCATCCGATGCTGTGAAAAGACAGCACTGAGCAGGGGTTGGCGACATTTTTGGGCAGAGTGCCAAACCCACCCACAACCTCTACTTGGAAGATGGTGGCATCCCAGGGGTGGATGGGGGGAAGCCCAATCCTTGTTGTGGCAGCAAAGCCTGGGCCTCTTCCCCGCTGTCCACCCTGAAGCATGCATGCACCCACTGCTGGCAACAAGCTGGGGTGGGGCTTCACAGACCCTGTTTGCAGTCTCCCCACTCCCTGCTGTAAGCATCCCGGGCTCTGTGGTGGGCAGCAGGGGCCAGAGAGCCCGGGCCAGCTGTGGCAGGTGGTAGGAGGTTCATGGGTGCCTCTGGATGGGCAGCGGGGGAGCTATGAGGGGCCTCATCGTTATTGGGGCAGTGCAGCCCCAGCTCCTTCCCCACTCTCCACCCCGTGTTCTAAGCACATGCCTGTGGCATGCATGTTGGGGGTCGCCCACCCCGGCATACAGCCATGTATAAAACAGAGTGAGTGATTTGAATATAAAAGGTGGGGAACGAGGAGGGAGAGGGGGAGAGGGACAGTGCTGGGAGAAACAAGCAATGGGAAACAAAGGGGTCACAAAAGCTAATCCAGGTAATGGTATAAGAATTTGTTGTTCCTGTTTAAACCATACTTATTTAGTTAGTCTATGGTACATGGTTAGTCTGATGGTGCATATCTACCCTGCCTTCTGACTGACTTCAAACTAACACAGTTAACCATCTCTCTGAATCATACTTCATGCAATCCAGTCTGTGGATGATTTCTTGTTCTGCAGTTCCCCATTCAGACTGTTTTTTTCAAATTTTGCTGCCTAAGAACAGCAATCCTGAGGTCAGCAATGGAGTGACCGTGGAGGTTAAAATGTTCTGACACAGGCCTTTGTAAACACTGCTTGAGTTAACTAATAGATAGAAAAATTGCTTGTGTATAATTCCATATGTAAATGAAAAACAGTCACTTAAAGAAATGGAAGATGGCTGTAAAGTAGGAGCAAAAACATGTTATGAGGAGTAATTTCAAAACAAGAACTCTCAACTCTGTGGGTGAAAGACTGTGCACCAGAATTACTTCTCACAGAGGTCACTGTTGTTTAGCTCAAGCTGTGTCTGCTTCTTTTCCAGACTTGAGGAAGGGTACTTTGGGTGGTCTACATATCACCCTATGGTGACATAGTGATGTGTTACATCGCAACATGGCGCACTATAATGACGTAGTGATCTCATGTGTCTACATGTGATTGCCAGCTATGTTGTTGTAGCAGTGTACTCCCTGGGTATAGTGCGCCCCTATGGTGATGTAGCAGCAACACTGAACTGTGCACCATGTGCACGATGCAGTAACCACCCATACTGCGCTGAGCTTTAGTACTTCCTTTGCCATAGCAATGTCACCGTATTGCAATGTGTAGACACACCATTTGTGTCTGAAAGCTTGTCTAAATTCTCTCCCAATGGCATAGTTGATCCAGTAAAAAATACCACCAAAAAACTCCTTGACTTCCCTGGATTATCAAGTCTACATTACAACTCCAACTATGCTATTTCATAGTAGTGGGTTTCTAATAGCACCTCTTTGTGAATAATTCCAAACAGTACAGGATATATGACAGAATAGTCCAAAATATCTCAATTGAAATGACTCTGTTCAACCCTTAAAACATTGCTTTTATTATCATAATGTAATAGTTATAGTCATGACTGTAGAGTACTTGTTTTAATTATATACAAGAACATAACATAAGCACATAAGAGGTGCCATACTGGGTCAGACCAATGGTCCATGTAGCTCAGTTTTCTGTCTCCAACAGTAGCAGGGGCGCATGCTTTAAAAAGAGACACTGACCTGGATATATCTGAAGTGATCTATGCCCTGTTCATTACCCTCCCTGGCAACTATCATTATTAGTTTAGAGATGCCAAAGGAAATGTTTCCAACTGTTCTGTTCAACAGCTATTAACAGATCTATCATTCATGATTTTGTCCTAGTCCCTTTTCGAACTTTTTTGAATTCAGCAGTGAATTTTAAAAATTCTTTGAAAAAATTCATGTAGCATTTCATGCAGAACAAACAATTAAAAAACTATCCCTCTACCATCATTCTTTCAGAAGGATCTAGAAATTAGTCATGTTATCCATCTCCATTAAATTTTATAGGGTATAAAGTAACTTTATAGAACCTTTTTTAAATTTCTGCACAGCATTGTTGGTTTTAGTCCTATTAAATTCAATAGCATTTCTGCCTAAATCAGAGATTGGTAAGCGATGGCCTGCGGGCCTGATCTGGCTGCAGAACCTTTGGATTTAGGCTGTGGACATGGGGCTTTGGCGGCATTTGGCGAAATGGGGTGTCTGTTGCAGGTAGTCTACCTTTGCCACCATGGCAAGCAGTAGCAGTGGCATGGTTCTAGTGCCTACCCACCTGCCTGTCTCCAACCTGGGGTGAGTCGTTACAGCCTGCAGTCTAAAAAGATTGCCTATCCCTGGATTAAGCAACTGGCAGGTCAGAGATGGAAAGAATCCACTGTGGCTGCCCAAGGCGTATGCATTCTGAGAGTAAACAGACTGTATCAGACTTCAAATGCTGTCTCTTTGGCAAGTTTCAGCACCATTTAATTCATTTTAAAATACCATTTTTTAAAAATGTTCTCGGTGAAATGAAAGACTTTTAAAGTATACTTTTCTTAGCATTCCTCAGGGGGAAAAAAGACAACTGCTGTTATGAATAAAAGACCATATTGGGAAAATTTAAATCATACAGCATATCTGTGTGCTCATTTTGCAAACAGACTGTGGCTGGTAACTAAGGCAAATCTGCTTTCTCTCTGATTATTTAAAGATTGCAAGTTCTGTTCATATAAAAAAGGGTGTCAATGCCATTCATTGTCACTCAGTATTTCTCCTTCCAAGGCACTGTCAAAGCAAAATCTTTGTGCTTCACAGATCAATGGCAAAATTACCAAAAAGAGCTTTAATGCACAGATTTGACTGCTTTATATAGATACATAAATATCAACTATAACCCTGGAATGTAAATATACAATTCTGTAACTGTTTCTTCCACACCATGCTATATTTAAGATTTGTAAAGGAAGGAAATGTATTAGGAGTAGACCGATCTTATAAACACATGCCAGTGTATTCTGATATTTTTCCTAAATATCTTCTGACATTTATATTTTGAGCAGTGGCAACAAAGTTGCTCAAATAGGTAAGTGTACTCCTTAATGATATTCTTTTAAAAAAGAGACTACTTTGGAAACAAAGTGTAAACAGAAAGTTTAGCTTGGATTTCTCACCTTATTGCTAGGTTTTCTAATACAAGTATGACCTTTGCATTTCTAAGTAGTTTTTTTTTAAACGTATCATACAATTTATGACTTTTGGCATTATGACTTCAGCCATATTTTGATAAACATTTATTGGACAGACGTTAGATGTGAAGGGTCTGATTCTGTTGAAAAGGATCTGTGCAACTACATTGCTTTATGGAACTAGTCCTGATTTACAACAGTGTAAGTTAACGGTATTAAGACAAAACTGGCATGGCTGTTCCATAACCTGTGTGTTATCATGTACACAGTGCCAAATTGTAAACAGTTTCATTAATGACCTTGGAAAAAAATGTGGGAGCACTCAAAGCAAATTTGGATACAGGTGTAGACACCAATATGCAAAACTGCCAGTACAGAGGAGGACCAGGCTATGATACAGATAGAACCAGTTAATCTTGAAGACTAAAGTAATAGAGATGGGATGAAATTAAACAGTACAAAATGCAAAGTCATGCACTTGGGAACTACTAACAAGACCTTTGCTTCATTAGTTCCAAACAACTGAGGAGGGGAAAGTTTTGGATGTACTAGCTGCTAGTTGTATTGTTAGGATCTAACAATGATAGTTGTGAAACAGCCAAAGGTGACCCTGGGCTCCTAGCTGAGGTAGTGCTAGTACAGTTAGGATTGTATTAATATGATTGTACAAAGAACTAGTATGACTGTGTCTGGAATATGCTATACAGTTCTGGTTGCCCATGAAAAAGAAAGATGAATTTAGACAGGGACAGGTTCAGTTAAGGTTCTAGGGTGATCAGGGGAAAGGACATCCTATCTTATAAGAGGAGACTAGAGAGCTTGGCTTATTTGACTACACTAGTGGGGCTGAATATTAGTGGGAGAAGCATAATTTAAGTTACAGAACCCTGTTGGCACAAATCCAAATTGGTACCAACTCACCATGAGTATATTTAGGATGGACATTGCAAGGTTTCTAGCCATCACTTAGGTCCTGGAACAACCCTCCAATAAGAGTAGCAGATGCAGGAAACCTCACTACTATTAAAATGGAGCTTGATCATTTTATGAAAGAGAGTCTATGGCATAACTTTTTATGACAGCCAGGGCCTGAATTTAATGTACCAGGAGATCACTTCCACTCCTGCACCCTACGCTCTATTATTTGCAAAACAACTACTGTCAAAACCATTTTAAATGTGTAACCAGAACTGTCCTTGCCTCAGCTGGTTGGTAGTCTAAGCAGACAACATAAAAATTTAGAGAAGAGATGAGACAGAGCAGCGCACACATGCAGTGGAGTTTTGGCTCATGGCTTATAGCTCCCTGTTGTTTGTATCTGTTATTGTTGTTATATGCTGTTATTTAA